TGGAGGGGTGACACTATAGGCAAGGCATGAGAAGGCTCAGAGCCACAGCCCTCCACCTCCAGGGTCGGAACCAGAAGGCTGCTGGCCCGGCTCTGCTAGGCACAGTGGAAGAGAACCTGGGTCCCTACCTGGCCCTTAGTTCTCTCTCTGGGGTTTTGAAAGTTAACTTCTGGGTGCAAAGAAATGAAGCCCTAACATTTGATTTTGGTCTTTTTTAACACTGAGATGGGTCTCTGTCCTAGTTATATCAGTTCTGGATCTAATTAGTTTCTTATTAAAATGGAAGGGCCCAATCCACTGACACTGCACCCAAAACCCCTTAGTGATTAAAACCATCTTGCAGTCTTCCCCAAGAACGCAAACACCCAGCCCTTGGTTCTCCCCAACTGTGAAAAATACTCTGGCTTCCCTTCATCGTCAGGGTGAGCAAATTTTGACAGAGGGACAGGACAGGGAGCCAACGGGGAGTCTTTTCTGACTTCTAACCTGATCTCGCTGGCAGGTCCACTGGTACATGCAGACAGCAAGGTCAGATTCCGCCACTGAAACACACAGCTGACATATGAACACAAAACTCCAGCCAGAGCAAATGGCTTTGGGTAAATGTTCATATTAAATGACACCAGATGATCATGAGTAACAAATGTAAGGGAAAGGGTAAATAAGAAAAAAAGGAGGGGGAGGGGGAACAAGCCTAACTTTCTTGCCTAAAGATTTTACATATTTTCAGTTTTATTTTCCTTCAGCCAAAAACCCTGAGGTCTGTATAGTAAGTAAAGGATTTATGGTGATAGGATGGAGCCGTGTACATGCATTTGTCCCAGCTCCTGCATGGACACATAGGAGCTGGAGAATGACACAGGCCTCTGCTCCTCCCCCATCTTCCCCTCCATGTCTCCAACCCCCTCCACAGGTCCCTAGGTTGCTTATTATTACAGACCACTCCTCTTCTCTCCCAGACCTCTGCCAGCTGCCAAGAGCTCCTCTGTAGTCATTGATTCATATACCCTACCCACTCTATCTAAAGGACTCATCTCAAGAGTCCTAAATTCTAGTCCAAAAAGGACAGCCATTTGTGCAATATCTCCTATCAGAATAAACTCAACACTAGGAAACTGAACTCATCTTCCCCTCAAAAGAGCTACAACTTTCTCATGTTTATGCTTTCAGAAGCTCAGGCACCTGTCTCCTCTCAACTCCGCTCCCCTTGTCTTATTCTGTTCAGGCCGCTATAACAAAAATACCATAGACGGGGCAGTTTAAACAACAGAACTTTATTTCTCACAGTCCTGGAAGCTAGAAAGTCCACGAACAAGGTGCCGGCAGATTTGGTGTCAGGTGAGGGCCTGCTTCCTGGCTCACAGACACCCCTCCTCTGACTGTGTCCTTACAGGGCAGAGGGGGGAGAGCTCTCTGGATCCCTTTTATGAGGGCACTAACCCCACTCATGAGGACTCCACCCTCATGACCTAATCACCTCTCACCCCCCTTCCCCACCACCTAATACCATCCAATTGGGAATTTGGCTTCAATATGTGAATTAGGGGGGACATTAACATTCAGTCCATAGCATTTCTCCACCCCCAGTCAGCACATTTACTCAATGTTTTTCTTTGCAGTGCATTTCATCTGCACCTTACCCATGCCCAACCTCAGCTCCCCAAGATGACCCTTATAACCTCAAAGACATTCTCCCTACCTCTGCTCTCTCCCCTTGGTAACATTACAGAGCTGGGATTCTCCTGCCACCTCCTAAAACAAATAAATAAACAAACAAAAAACTACAGTTTTCCCATGCCTACTCTTAAAGTCCAAACTCCCTAACCTCTCAGTCCTAGTTCCACGCTATCTAAATCCTACCTCTTTCATGGACTAGTTCAAATCCTACCTTCTAAATCCCTATAGCAATCGTTCACAAGTTATTTAGCAGTTAAGTACTACTTATTATGACACCTTGTCTATTAGCATCTTGAATTTTAACTTATAGGAGGGAATCCTCATAGTTGGTTGAGAAAACAGATTGGCAGTTTCTTATAAAGCTAACATAAAATTACCATTTTTATCAGAGACTCCTACATATGTATCCAAAAGAAATGGAAACAGACTTGCACAAGAATATTCACAGCAGCATTATTCATAATAACCAAAACAATGAAACTTACACCTTCACCATCTGATGAATGGGTAAAATGTGGAGTATCATACAAAGGAATACTACTCAGGAACCAAAAGGACAACCTGGATGAACATATTAATATGGATGAACCTTAAAACATTATGCAAAGTGGAAAGACATGCTGGTGATTCCTGTTATATGAGACATGCAGAAAGGCAAATTTATAGACAGAAAGTTGATTAGTGGTTGCCTGGGGCTGAGAGTGGGAACAGGGATCATGGGAGAAGATAAAAAACTGATTTGTTGGGATTGTTGCACTGCTTGATAAATTAAATCACTGAATTGAATACTTGATGAGTCAATTTTATATGTAAAACGCGCTTCAATAAAGTTAACATTTCTTTAATTACAGTAGGTATTCAATTACTTGAATATTTAATCTCTTACCTGTTTTTGTTTTCCTCACCACCCTTTCCCCTGCAATTAGACTCTAAACATCTTGAGGGCACAGACCACGTCTCCCACTTATTTTTTATGCTAATTTTAATATGAATTTCACCTACTCCAAAGCTATACATATTATTCTGTGTTCCTAACAATTTGTAATTTGTGGCTTTGATTTTTGCCTTGCCAGGCTATGGAGTGACACATTCAAAAGCATCAAGGATGGAATGGTGTATGTGGTAGTTGAATCGCAGCTCCTCTGCTTCAAAGCTAGAATTCAGGGCAAGTTAACTGCCCAAGCCTATTGCCCAGGTCTCTACTGAAAGAAAAAAAAAAGTGGTAACTACCTTACAGAGTTGCTATGACGATGAGTGAGGCGGTCTGGATTAACGGTTGGCCCAGTGCTTGAAACATGTCAGCTCACCGAATGCTGGCTGAAACATGCACGCACAAACCCAGCCCCAAAGGCATGTGCCCTAGAGAAGCATCTTTCAAACAGGACACAACCTTCAACAACAGAGTGGACACCTACAGACTGCACTACCCTCTTCTTGTCATCCACCAGGCAAGAGTGGCCCTGTGTCAAATGGAGTTGAAAAATAAATATTAAAATTATAAAACTAAGAAAGAGTGGCCCTGGAACATCTTTTCTCCTGGGGCAGTGTCATGGCTCAAAGGGCGTCTGTGGACTGAGCCGAGTCCCTCCAGCAGGTGGGGTCCCTTGGCCTGGCCTATGGGGATGGGGCTGAAACCAGTTCTCCGACATCCCCCCAGGGGTCCTGGATTGCGAGGGCGGTTCTCGGGAAACGCACCCCAGCATCGGGCTCCCTCCTGTCTGGTTCCGGGGTGCGTCACCTGAGAACCGCCGCTGTCAAGTCACCGCAGCTCAGCAGTTCCTGCGTTGAGCATCTTCCCCGATGGTCAGTGCACATCATAGCCACCGGTCAGAGCGTCTTCCCCCTGGTGGTCATTGCACGTCATAGCTACCAGTCAGACAGTCAGACGGTCGCTTAGCCTTTTTTATCTAGCATCCACTAATTCATGCTGTTCTCTAAACTGCTTGGTTTTCTAAAACGGAATAAAATAATGCTGGTATGTAAAACCAGAGCCAATGCTTCTCACCTATGCAGCCAAAACTCTTGCAATTTCCCAAGCAAGGTGGACCACGCGAATAGCACCTACTCACTGGGTAGTGCCATGCCCACTGTCCTCTGGTTATTGTAACTACTGCACAGCAGTCTGTGCTGACCACGCTGGTCTTCAGCCTCAAACAGCATTCAGAAGCTATTCTCCATACAGAAGAGTTCTCACAGCAGCACAATTAATCACGAAGGACCAGAAAACAAATGCCCACTTCTTATTGCTTTACAGTAAGCCAGCAACAAACACAAATGAATAATAATAAACATGACTCTTAAACTCTCAAATGGAGATACAAGACCAGAATGTGCTCCTATACTTAAAATGCTTTTGTTAAAACTAAAATCCACAACTTCTGCCAAGAACTTAATATTCTCAAGCAGAATCAATTTACTTTAAGAGGCAAAGAAAACTACTGTCAAATGTACTATGTAATTAAAAGCCTATCATACTCAATGTAGACAGTGTTCGTATCACTTTAAAGATCTGAACACCTTTTTCCCTTCTGCAAACTCTTCTGCACAAAGAGATATCACTCTAAATCCAACAGTGCAGAGCAATTATGCCTCATTTCTACTTCTTTCCTCACAATGGCAAATTTGTCAGTCCTTAACTCAACCTGATAAAAGCTCTGATTTCCAGGCCAAACATCCACTGTACACACAGAAAGCCCAAAATGGAATCAGGCATGGGAGGGTGGTACACCTGAAACCTTCAGATTCTGGAAACACTGGCACCTTCCTTTCAGTGAGCTCCAAAACACTGTGGATGTCACCATTTTAATAACTTCAATTCAAGCACTACCCCTGCCCCCCACAACTGGTAAACAGCCAATGAAAGGCACGTATTCTCAGTACTGCCTGAAATGAGGGAAGGAGGGTGCAACCAGATTTATGTGACTTGCCCAAAACTGTCAATCTAAAACCTATCGGGAGAGTCACCAACAACCGGAAACTGCTTACTCTGAAAACAGTGCCAAATCTGCTGGCTCATTTTTTCAGCTGGTTTTTTAATCCAACGTTTTCTCTTTCTTCCAGACAAAGCACAGCACTTTTCTCTCAGAACACACCAGTCAGGGTATTGCTAACTTGACTGGGTGGCTTTATACTCTCACACCAGTGTAGCTGGCTGCTAGGAAAAAGGTCTCATAGCTTAGAAATACATCATATGAAGTGTTAAAGATGTGTGTGAAACGATTTTTAATTGCTTGCAATAGCACAATGTGAAGGCAACATCAGGAAACCAGGTGTTTAAAACACTAAGTGCTAAACCCACACCGGTAAACAGCCAAATGACAGCATGTTACTCAATTCTTTAATACAAAAACTTCCCAGACGTATCTGTTGAACTTGACTTTGCAGTTTAATTCTATGATTTGATGGCAGTGAGGGAACCCTGGAGCTATTACTCCCTTGTAAAAAAATGTCAACACCTGATTTACTCACCTGGCTTAAAAAAAGAGAGGGAAATATAAAATAAGTGTCCTTTGGTTAGCAATCATCCTTTTTAATGACCTGTTTGCATACCTGTGTATGGGGGTTACTTTGGATATAGAAAATACCGAGGATCACAAGACAATAAACTTCTCAATCAGGACATCAACAGCATCAGGGTAAGCAGGAAATAAACTTTACCAAGAGACTGACATTTGCACTTTTGACAGAACTGAATTACAGAGCAAATTCACTAAAACAACAACAACAAAAACCCTGTCCTTGTAAAGGCTAATCTTTAACCCCCAAAGAAGTGTTCCGATTCTGACACACATACCACACGACTGGCTAAGAAAATAAATCGCGGTGCTTAGCAACAGGGCACCGTAACTACAGTGAGCGGCCCTGCGCTCACCCTCGCTGGCAACCACTGAGGCCAGCAAGGCCAGGCCCGGGGAGAGTCTCCTATTTCTCCACACAAGCTGCTGCTGTCTCCTTATTGAAGCCTCGGATGGAGAGATCATAGACCACCTCCTCCACTTTCTTCACGTCGTACTTCAAGCCATCATAGCGCTTCCTCAGGGAGTCGTTTTTCAGGTTGAGGAGGCGGAACCCGGAATCCAGCTCATTGATGAAGGTGGAGATGTGAAGGGGCCGGGAGTAGTCTCCAGCAGTCACACTGTTGACAGACAGCCTCGACTGTACAAGGAAAGAGAGACTGGGATGTGTTACAATGTGGCTCCACCTTACCATGTCCTCCAAATCACAATGACAAGACCCTCAGGCCACAACACTTCACATATTATCTTTGATGAATACATTTTTGACAAATGCTTAATATTAATACTAACTTAATAACTTAAGAAATCATTTCTCGCCGAAACCGGTTTGGCTCAGTGGATAGAGCGTCGGCCTGCGGACTGAAAGGTCCCAGGTTCGATTCCGGTCAAGGGCATGTACCTGGGTTGCGAGCACATCCCCAGTAGGGGGTGTGCAGGAGGCAGCCGATTGATGTTTCTCTCTCATCGATGTTTCTAGCTCTCTGTCTCTCTCCCTTCCTCTCTGTAAAAAATCAATAAAATATATTTAAAAAAAAAAAAAAAAAAGAAATCATTTCTCTTTTGTTAGAGTTTCTATGGGCTACAATTTATTCTACATAAATATTATTTGTAAACCCACAGTGAACAGCCTTATAACAGCTTTTTTTTCATCTTTAGAATTATTTTCATAACATAATTTCTCAGGAAAGAGACTAAGAAGATAAAAGCAAGAATAATTAATATAGTTATGTAGGTAAGTTGCTCTCCAAAACAATTATATGAGTTAACACAGTTACCAGGAATATGTTTTTCCACTACTTTGAAACAAAGAGGTATAATCATCTCTTAAAAATTCACACATTAGTAAATATGCACCTCGTCAGAATGGCATTTCTCTGGTGACCAGCAAAACTCATACCGTGCACAGTCAATGACTATCTGGTGACCAACAGATGGCTTCTACATGTATCAGACTCCCGGGATTTTTGTACCCATTTTAAAAAATAACAGCCAAGTGGGAAGATGAAAAAAATTAACGGCTCCAGGACCAGACAACTTCACAGGTGAATTCTACCAACATTCAAAGAAAATTTAATACCTATCCATCTCCAACTCTTCCAAAATATTGAAGAGGAAAGAATGAATGTTTCCTAACTCAGCCAACATTATTTGGAAACCAAAACCAGGCAGGAACAACACGCACACATACAAAGATTACAGGTCAATATCTCTGATAAACATAGATGCAAAAGTCCTCAACAAAATACTAGCAAATCAAATCAAACAATACATTTAAAGCAGCGGTTCTCAACATGTGGGTCACGACCCCTTTGGGGGTCGAACGACCCTTTCACAGGGGTCGCCTAAGACCATCGGAAAACACATATATAATTACATATTGTTTTTGTGATTAATCACTATGCTTTAATTATGTTCAATTTGTAACAATGAAATTGGGGGTCACCACAACATGAGGAACTGTATTAAAGGGCCGCGGAATTAGGAAGGTTGAGAACCACTGATTTAAAGGATCATACACCAAAATCAAATAAATTTCACTGTAGGGATACAAGGATGGTTCTATATTTGCAAATCAATCAATGTAGTACACATTAACAAAATGAGGTAAAAATCATATGATCATCTCACTAGATGCAGAAAAAGCATGTGACAGGATACAACATCCATTTATGATCTTTTTAAATATATATATACACATATCACTTTTATTTCAGAGAGGAAGAGAGAGAAACATCAATGATAAGAGAGAATAATCTATCGGCTGCCTCCTGAACACCCCCCTCCTGGGATGGAGCCTGCAACCTGGGCACATGCCCTGAACAGGGAATGAAACTGTGATCGCCTGGCTCATAGGTTGATGCTCAACCCCTGAGCCACACCAGCCAGGAAGCCATTTATGATTTTTTAAAGAAACCTCTCAATAAAATGAGTATAGAAGGAAAAGTGCCTCAACATAATAAAGGCCATATAAGACAAACCCCACAGTTAGCTAACTTCATACTCAACAGTGAAAAACAAAGCTTTTCCTCTAAGATCGAACAGAAACAAGACAAGGATGCCCACTCTTGCCAGTTTTACTCAACACTACTACAAGTCCTAGTCAGAGAAATTAGACAAGAAATAAAAGGCAACCAAATTGGAAAGGAAAGAGTAAAACTGTCACTATTCGCAGATGGCATGATTTTATATATATAAAACCCTAAAGTTCCCACCAAAAAAATATCAGAAATAAAATTTCAGAATACAAAATCAACATACAGAAATCTGCTGCATTTCTATATGCTAACAATGAACTATCAGAAAGATAAAGAAAAACAATCCCATTTACAACCGCAATAGAAAAAAAAATACCTAGGAATAAGCAAAGGAAAGGAAACACTTGTACACTGAAAAGAAAAAGACATTCTTTCTTGAAAGAAATTAAAGACAAAAAAATGAAAAAAACATCCTGTGTCGATGGACTGGAAGAATTAACATTGTTAAAATGTCCATATTACCTACAGGAATCTACAGATTCAACGCAATCCCTAATAAAATCCCAATGGCATTTTTCACAGAAATAGAACAAAACAAATCCTCAAATTTTGGAACCACAAAAGACCCCAAATAGAAATCCTGAGGAAAAGAGAACACAGCCAGAGATATCACACTATCTGATTTCAAACTACACTACAAAGCTACAATAATCAACAGTATGGTAATGGCAAAAAAACACACACAGAGACCAATGGAACAGAACTGAGCCCAGAAATAATCCCAGACATATATGGACAAATAACTTACAGCAAAGGAGACAAGAATATACAATGGAGAAAGTTTCTTCAATAAAGCTGGGAAAACTGGACAGCCCTATACAAAAGAATGAAAGTAAACTACTATTGGCCCTAACCGGTTTGGCTCAGCGGATAGAGCGTCAGCCTGCGGACTCAAAGGTCCCAGGTTCAATTCCGGTCAAGGGCATGTACCTTGGTTGCAGGCACATCCCCAGTGGGGAGTGTGCAGGAGGCAGCTGATCGATGCTTCTCTCTCATTGATGTTTCTAACTCTCTATCCCTCTCCCTTCCTCTCTGTAAAAAATCAATAAAATATATTTTTAAAAAAAGAAAGTAAACTACTATTGTACACCATACATAAAAATTAATTCAAAATGGACTAAAGACCTGAGTGTTAGCCCTGAAACAATAAAACACACAGACAATAATATAGGTACTAAGCTTCTGGTCATCAGTCTTAGTGGTGTTTTTGTGAATATGACTCCAAGGCAAGAGAAACAAAAATAAACAAATGGCCCTAGCTGGTTTGGCTCAGTGGATAGAGCATCAGCCTGCGGACTAAAAGGTCCCAGGTTCGATTCCAGTCAAGGGCACATGCTCAGGTTGCGGGCTCGATCCCCAGTAGGGGGCATGCAGGAGGCAGCCAATCAATGATTCTGCCCTAACCGGTTTGGCTCAGTGGATAGAGCGTCGGCCTGCGGACTCAAGGGTCCCAGGTTCGATTCCGGTCAAGGGCATGTACCTTGGTTGCGGGCACATCCCCAGTAGGGGGTATGCAGGAGGCAACTGATCGATGTTTCTCTCTCATCGATGTTTCTAACTCTCTGTCCCTCTCCCTTCCTCTCTGTAAAAAATCAATAAAATATATTTTTAAAAAATAAAAATAAAAAAATAAACAAATGGGACTATATCAAACCAAAAAGCTTCTGCACAGCAGGAAACCATCAACAACAAAGGCAACCAACCAAATGGGGCAAGATATTTGCAAATGGTATTTACAATAAGGTACTAATTTAAAAAATATATAAAGAACTCCTACAACTCAACAACAATAACAACCACCACCTAATTAAGAATGGGCAGGCCCTGGCCAGTGTAGGTAAGTGGTTAAAGCGGCCGCCTGTGCACCAGAGGGTCTCATGTTCAGTTCCCAGTCAAGGGGCACGCACCTCAGATGCGGGTTCACTCCCCACCCCTGGTTGGGGTGCATGCGGAGGCAACCAGTTGATGTGTGTCTCTCACATCGATGTTTCTTCTTCCCTCCTTCCCTCCCTCCCCGTCTCCTAAACTCCCTTCTACTCTCTCTGAAAAGCAAAGGAAAAAATATCAAGGTGAGATTAACAAACAAACAAAAAATGGTCAGAGGATCTGAATAGCCATGTTTCCAAGAAGACATACAGATGGCTAACAGACACATGAAAAGATGCTCAATATCACTAATCATCAGGGAAATGCACATCAAAATCACAATGAGATATCACTTCACACCTCTTCACACCTGTTTATTTCTCCTATCGAAGAAATAGGAGATAATAAATGCTGGGGAGGGTGTGAAGGACAGGAAACCCTCATACACTATTGATGGGAAAGTAAATTGGTGCAGCCACCATGAAAAATAGGATGGAGATTCCTCAAACAACTAAGAAGAGAACTATTATGGTCCACCTATTCTACTTCTGGGTATTTATCCAAAGAATATAAAAACATTAATTTGAAAAGGCATATGCACCCGTGTTCACTGAAACTTTATTTTTAACAGCCAAGATTTATAAAAAATTAAGTGTCCATGGATGGATGAATAAATAAAGAAGCGGTATATATACAATGGAATACCACACAGTCATTAGAAAGAATGAAATCTTGCCATTTGTGACAACATGGGTGGACCTTGAGGATATTATGGCAAGAGAAATAAGATAGAGAAAAATAAATGCTCTCACTTATATGTGGAAACTTAAAAAAAAAAAAAGCAAAACAAAAACAAACTCACAGATACACACAACAGACTGGTGTTTAACGGAGGGAACTTTGGGGAGGGGGAGTGAAATGGATGAAAGGGGTCAAATACATGGTGACAGATGGAAACCAGACTTTGGTGGTGAACATGCAATAGAGTACAGAGATATCAAGCTATAATGTTGTACACCTGAAATTTATGTTAGTATTAACCAATTAACAGTAAAAAATAAAAAGAAAGAAAATGGCAAATTACTAAGTATATTACCAGTTCACTAGCAAGAATTAGAACTCCTGAGAGATAATCTTCTACATCCAGATGAAATCCTTTCTCCCGATCTGGCTCAACTAAAAAAAATATCAAGATAAAAATGAGGTCATGATATGAATATAATTTAAGCCTTAGCATTATTTTTAAGTGTGTGAAAAAGGATGAATCATATAAAACAATCTTTTTTGTTTCCTAGTAATTCTTATTTTTCAATTACAGTTGACATACAATATTAACCTTGGCAACTAGACTTCATTGAGAATTTTTCTAGCTCTCAAGCAAAATTCAATTTTCCTGTCTACTCTTCTTTTAAAAAGTAATACCACAAAAAATGTCAGAGAATATCTGTTTTTAGCAGGTCACAATATCTGCAACTGACTTCAAATGGTTGACAAGCGCACACAAACGCACACATGCACACAGACACACCCAGTGTGGAGACTAAGAGGATGTGGCAGAATGTTAAGAGTAGTGAGTCTAAGTGAGCTGTAAACAGGCATTCACTGTATTATTCTTCTAACTTTCCTACAGCCTTGACATTTTTAAAAACTGAAGTTTACAAATGTAACACCCAAGTACAAAGAGAAGCCACTACATATTTTTAGGTTTTGTGTTTCCAAGTAACTGGTTTTCTACCTAGTTCTCATTTGTTATAATAGAGATTATAAGCCAACAGCCTCTTCCACCAAAAATTAACCTATCCATTAGTATTGGTTCTGCAGATCAATACTAATGAAGACACTTACTGCCAAGAATTTCTGTGACTGCTTCTCGGGTCACTAGTGTTTCTGATTCCAAGTACACAACAAAGGCCGCCAGGAAGACCAGCCGCTGTAACACAAACCTCCAGTGCTCATGAAATCTACGTAAAGACAAGCACATAGGTTGAGGACCAGAGCCTTAAATAAGAGAGTTTAGTACAGTCAAGTTCAAACATTTTAGATTGGAATTCTTTTCCAAATAAAATTTTACGTGAAACCCCAACATACGAAACATGTAAGAGCAATATGACATTTAAATATATTAGACAAATTTAGTGTAGATTTTGCAAGTTCAAATTTATAATTATAAACTAAAAGTTTAATAAATAAACATGATTCAATTTTATGAATACAAAAATTTACAGCTGAAGATTATGTTCTTAATAAATAAGAACAATGATAGTGCTCTGAGAAAAATATTGGCAACTGAAGACTGAGGAGAAACACAATTGTACATCAGCTTCAACACCGAACTCATTCCTACATTTTGAGTGTAGTGTATCAAGAAAATTCTGATTCACACATGTAAGTAATAACTACCATTTGCCATCACTACATGAATAGACTTAAAAAGTCAGGGATACTACAGTTAAACTGAGCCAGAAACCTGGAAAAGAAATAGGAAATTTGACAACTTCTGGATATTGATGCTGTGGCAACAATTCAGAAAAAAATTTCAACACAATGCAGGCCAAACAAAACCTTCTGAGGGCCAAATCTGCCACAGGGCAGCCTGTGTCTGACTCCAAATTACCTGGTCTCTAGGGACCCTGACAATTCTATCCTCCTACTTTTCTAAGCTTCAGTTACTACCTTTGCAAGGTTTGGCAAACTTTCTCTGTGAAGGGCCAGATAATAAATATTTTAGGCTTTTCAGGTCACTTTCAGTCTGTTACATATTCTTATTTGGCTGTTTTTCTTTTTCTAACAACTTTAAAATAAAGAAGCAATTCTTAGCTTCCAGAGGCAGCAAGCCATGGGTAGTTTGCCAATCCCTGCCTTAAAAAACCTTGTGAGGTTGTGCTACCCACTCCCCACATGCATGTTCTATTTATTGCCCATAAATACGTCTGAAATGAGTATCTTCTTCAGTAAGAAAATAAACATAAGTAGATAGTTTAGGTTCTTATTTACCATATTTTATCAACATCCATTTAATATCTGTGAAATCAGGATGCATTTTACAATCTACATGTTTCACAATTATGATTGGCAACAACTTTTCTTCCATAAAGCAATATATACTTTAAAATAACTGATGGTGTAAATCCAACAACATACGGCATAAAATATTGGATAAATATGTTACTTGGCAGTGAAAGTCAAGCTTTAAGGTAAAGCTCAACTCTATAACCTTAACAGCAGATATGGTTCATCCAATTTCACAAGCAACTTGAATATACTAAAAAGACATTCTTTATTTTGACCTCATACAACAAATACTTTGTTTTTAACTGCTTTTTCATTGCAAAAATTATACATGATCTTTACGAAAATTTTGAAAATAAAAGGGAAGAAAATAATATCACCAATTTTGTCACTGTTCAAATACTGCCATTAATAGTTTGATTATGTTTCTTTTTGTTGCTTCTTCTACATAGAGGGATTTTTACCTAGTGCTAAGCAATCATTCAGTACATATAATTCTCTGCCTTTTTTAATTTCATATTATAAAATAATGCTACTTTTCTTACAAACCTGTAATACTGTTCAGCAGGGAACTTGGTCTTCAAAGACATTAGATGTGTTTTCACAGTACCAAAATGTTCTCGAGCTTTCAAACACCTCTTTGGAACTGATCACACCAAAAAAAAAAAAAAAAAAAACCAAACAAAAAAGAAAAAACAATCATCAAACATCATAATGAAAGACCAAATTTCAAATACTTAATAGTGCTTAATACTTACTATTGCTTAATCATCTATGCAGTCTACCTGGAAATAAATCAACTTTTTAAAAAAGCTCATGACCAAATATAGGATATGAATCTCTGCTTTTCAACCTGGCTTTCAAATTTTCACCTCTAGCTTGCCTACTGATGAACAAATACTGAGAAATAAACAAAAATTTGCTGAAAGGAAATGTCAGGAAACACAGCGTGAGCTATCAGGAATGACCTCATCCCTAAGGGGCTGCACACCAGGCGCATTCCTAGGCAGTCCTCAAAGGAGGCGTAAAACTGATCTGCTTCTAGCTTTCATATTTGGTCAAGTTTTACCAATTATTCTCAATCGGGCTGACCAACTACATATCATGGAGAAAAATGACTTGCCTCTGACACCTATAAATTACTTTGTTATACCATTCTCTACCTGAAAATGTATTTCAGCTCTTTCAGCTGTGCTTACAATGGCGGTTCCATGTTAAAATTTATCACAATTGATCTCCATCCATTCAAGGGACTAACTGTACACACATTCAGAACATTTTACAGTGGCCATTTCATATCTACAAATGCGTATCAAACCATATTCAATATCTGAAAGGTTTGGTGTGTTTTTGAAGCACCAAATAAACGTTGCTAAATACACAAGTGAACTATGATACTACTATTATCAGCAGCAGCAGGTCATCAAATAGAAAACATCCCATATTACGTGAAAGTGCAAAATCAATCAAAACACAGAATTCTGTAAACCTGTAAAAACGATAAACTCACCTACTCCAACTTTTATTCACCTTAAAGGATGAGGAACATTTCTCATAATGAAATGACACAGAGCTGAAATGCTGTTTGGATGGTAAAGCTCTTTAAATGAGATTGATGAACTGGATTAAAACCTCAAAAGTCAAAACGAAACACTTACTGTCCTGAAACCCAGCACCTTGATGGACCCCTTGCAGTAGAGTTAAAATCTCCCGGGCTGTTTGTTCTAAACTCTGCACTACTTTTCGGATTTCCTAGAAAGAATTAAAAACCAAAATATCAGGTCAGTTCAACATCATTATTATTATAGCCTGAAACCAAATATGCCAGGTAGCACGTTTGATTATGACGCCTTCACATACAGTGAAAACACTAACCATCTTCACAAGGACTGAACCGGCACAGACAACACCCAGGTCTGAATCCCGACTCCCGCCTCCTTCCTCTGAGACCCTCGGGAAGCCTGAGGTTCCTATTTAACCCTCAAGGTAAGAGCCGCCTCCCCGCATCTCAACTTCCCCGCAGGACCCACAGCGCTGAAAGGGGCTGAGGCACCTGCATGCCATTTGCAAAGACAAGAATAAAAGGCGACACAGGGGTGGGTCTTTCTCATTCACTCGTTCACTCATTCATTCTACAAACACTCACGGAGCACATCCCCGTGCTAGGCTTGTCAATGCTGGGGAGCCAAGTACAGCCCCCTCCTGTCGGGCAGTTCAACGGACATTCAGAAGACAGGACTTGCACAGGTTTCTTAAATGTTAATGCGTTACCAGAAAACGTAACAGGCAATCGATCATTTGGCCTGTGAAATCCAGGAGATGAATATGGGAGGGGGGGGTGGAAAGCAGCAGATTTCAGGAAGAGC